AATTAATTAATAACTACTCAAATAATTATTTACTTCATTTAAAATAATTACTGAATTTTAATTTTTTAAAATTATTTTCTTTCATATAACATGATTTATTTATTTTTTAAATAATAATAATATATACTTTATCTTAAAAATATATTAATATAAACATATAATTTAAAGTTATTTATATAGAATAATATAATAACAAGATGAACATATAGGTACAGAAGACATGTTTCTGATGATAAAGAATAGAAGCTAAAGAATAAAAACACTAGTACATAAAGCAAATGCCATGAAAAAGAGAAAAAGGCAATTGATAAAGAAATTAATTTAAATATACTGTTAATCAGTTCTGTCCTCTTTTGTTTTGCTTTGAGAGGAAACTAACCCTGGTTATATATTTAAGAATAAAGAATTTAATTTCAATACGATAATATTTTTGAATATTATTATCTAATCACACGTTAGTATGTATGATAAGTTACTGATTTTTTATAACTATCATAAAAGTCCAGTAAAAAATGTATTTTTTTATTTGTAATTTTTTTATTTTACGTAAATATCACAACTAAACTAAAAAAATAAATACTTATTTATTAAAGTAGTTTATGTGAAAACAACAGCACTGGTGACAGCACAAATAGTGAATGGGCTTTTGTGGAAAGGTTAATGGGGCCTGATAAAGTGTGGACAACATGTTACCTAGGCTCATGAGCCCACACAACGGAGAGTCTCTCTTCTCATTTTGATGGCGTGATAAAACGTGAACACGTGAGAAGAAACCAGTCTTGTGTAGGTTAGGTGATGCAGAACAGGCACACGTCACCTCTGTCAGTCTTTTTTAGAGAGCCTGAGCGCCAAGATCGGAATACTCGTTTTTCTTTCATTTTCACTGTTTCAACCAAACGACACGCCTCTCAAACGTTTCTTGGAGAATTCAGGTTCCAGGTAATCCTCCCTTCCAAATAGTTCCATCTCGCTCGAGGGTTTTCCTTACTCTCCATTATCCTGATCTATGATGCCTCCATTTTTTTTTTCTCATTTTCTTTCATTTTTCTGCATCTGCACGTGCTTTTAGAAATTTTCGTTTGACGTGAGGTTTCGATTCCGTATGCGCGCACCTTAGACTAGAACAGATTAACGATCTTCAATCTTCAATCAGCGAGCTTATTAGGATATTGAGCTTATTAGGATATTGAACCGTTTCCTAGCGGTAATCCAGATTTCCCGCATAAGTGTATTTTTTAAAACTTCAAACTCTACTGGTAAGGTAAGGAAATTAAATATAGTATGAACAATTCCAATAATTTGAAAATTGGAATTGCGTTTCGGTTTTTTGACTGATGTTACTCCCTGAATTTTCACTTGGTTCTTGTTGTGTCATATGTGCGTGTGGTGCATTGTTTCTCTCAAGAACCAAAAGTGTAGGGTGGCCTTATTGGCAGATATTGAGTGTATATTTTCTTAGATACTGAAGTTTGGTGTCATTGTCTTGATGATGATGATGTGTTGTTAGAAAAAGAATATGGATGCTCTGTTTTTCCCTTTCACTATGGGAATGATGGATTACTAATGCCTGTGCATCTGTCAGATGTGATATTAGTTTTAATCAGTTGACTTCCTAGACTGAGGATTCTAGATATTAAGACTTGTGAGAAAGGTTTTAAAGTTGTGATTGTGGCTGTGTTGTAGTCACAGACACTTAAAAAAATCTTTATGTTGTGCCGGTATAGGATAGTTTTTTAAAACCTTGTTTGTGAGAAAGTGGTAATACACTTTTTCTTTTTTTATGTTGTGTGGTTCTTTTTTTCACCTTTTAATTTCTTATTAATTTGGATGTTATTATACTTTAAAATATGTGGACATTGAAAGTAGACTGCAGAACATGTCGCTTATTATTATTATTATTATTTTTTGTTACTGCTTGCAATCTTGCACTACATTGAGAATGCAAGCTACTATCCTTGCTTGCTTAAATTTGTATGATATTTTAATAATTTTATCCTCGAGAGAGACTTCCAAATCCAAATAAAGAGTTTTGTTGTTTCATGCCAAATGAACTACCTCCTTCATTTAATGATCCTATCGAGTATGACACGACACAACTTACGGTATAGACGGACTATTGAATTCCCTTGACTATATTTTATATTTGTTTATCTGTATGGAAGTAAAAAAGTTGACATCAAAGTCGGGCTTTTCTGATGTTTTGTATGTTGTTGTTGTTGTTGTTGTTGTTGTTGTTGTTTTAAGACTGCATGTTAGATTCTTATGAGAATTCACCAAGCTAAACAATGAAACTTGTACAGTTGAATGACTTTTTATTCTACTGTGTATCATTTGATATGCTTTGGATTGAATGATTTCCTTGTTATAACCTTGTTAGTTTAAGAAGTCCCTTTTGTACTAGTTTATATTTGATTGTTTTATAGTGTGTTGGTAGCAGCGATAGGGACATGAGTAGGATGGGATGTTTGGTGGAATATTTAAGTGTTTGGCTCTCCATCGTTAATAGCTAGCTTTTGAGGGTGAGTTCTCCGAATACTTGGGTGCTTATTAATTGGAATCAAAGTTGGTTGTTGATGTCTTTGGAAAGGGTTATGGAGGGTTTTGACCAACAAAAAAATTAAATGGAATGCACCAAGTGTCATAGATTAAAAGTTGTTGAGACTTGAATTTTTGGGTGCAAGTACCACATTGATGTGTGCCTAATTGGTGGTTTAGGCTTTAAGGATCTTTATATATGGGTCAACTCAAGAGGACTCTTCAAGAGATCAAGAAATAAATTCAAGAACTCAAGTTTGTTCGGTCAAAACAGTCATAAACAATGAAAAGGATTAAAGTGAAATAGAACTGATTGAAATGTCATATGTCATGTAATTCACCAATAGAAATAAAAAACAAGAAGTTTCATTGGCATAAATTGAATCAAACTCAAGAAAATTCACATATATGTCAAGGATTGGATGAGAGAAAGAAGAACAATTAGAAAATCAAAAGATGGAAGTGATAGAAATGGAAGAACACTCCATTTCACAGGGAAAGATGAGTGCAAAGGCTGATCACTACCAGAGGAAAATCCCTCTTGGAGAACTTGGCCTCTTGAGAGAAAACTCAAAGCTCTTTCAATTGAAAATTCAAGTTATGATACAAATGAGTAGAAAGAGACTTATATAGGTTAGGTGTGGAAGATGAAAGGTTTAGACCTTATTTGGGTATAGATGTAACACTCAATCCGTCAATGCTTTTACTTTTTCCACTAGCCTATCCAAACATAGCTCATATTTTTCTAAAGTGTCTTAAATTCTTTTTAAAGAAAGAAAATACATTTTCTACAATTTTATTCACAAATAAGTTTTAGAAAGATTTAAAGAAATATTCTTGATATTTTCTTCTAATCTTCTAGTCATTCTTCTTGCTATTCTTTCTTTATATTTTTCTTTTATCTCCCTTTCTTTGAATTTTCTAGCTCCTTCTTCTTTTGTCACTTGGGTTATTCTTTAGTTAGTCCTTGATTTGTGGTTTCATAACACATTGAGTAGTATGAGTTGTTTGGTGGAGTATTTAAATGTTTTGTCCTCCTTTAATGACTAGCTTTTTGACTGAGGGTGGTTACCCAAGTATTTAGTGTTATCACAACAAAAGAAAAGAGAAAGATGCGGAAGTTGGAAGAATGAAGATACAAAGTGACATTGAAAAAAATGTGCATTGTTTGGTTTAGTAGAAATGAGCAAGCGAATACTTTGGCAAAGTAACAGGTGAATGGATCGTGCCAAACCTAAAAAGGGAACTGTAACAAATTAATAGGCTTGGCTTTGACTTGACTTGATATGACTATTTCTATCTCTATCACAACAGGGATTTGCATTATATATATATATATATATATATATATATATATATATATATATATATATATATTCAGATGGTAAATTTTTAAGATTAATGTCAGAATTGGTAATCCATCATTAGTCTTGGTTTTTGTTATGATGGATCAACTTTCATAATTCATGAAGTTCTTGTTTAAAATAATTTATATATCAAAACTATTGTTTTATGAGGATTGGAATAAAATGACTAACCTCCAATCATTACGATTTGAATTTATGAATGGGTATTTGTTTTCTCATGTGTTTAGGCTAGATATTCTATGCCTACTTATAGTCAGTTTCAGTCAATCATTGAAAACTAACTCCTAAATATCAGTATACTCTAATATGACCTTATTGAAAATAAGGTGACCAGATACATTAGTGGAAGTAATAAAGGATAAAAATGATTTGTACTTAATGTTTCGTTTAAATATTTTCCATTCACAAACCACTTTTTGGACTCTTTTGTTTTAATTATCATCTAGTTAAGAATCATTGCCTGGTTATGCATATTCTGATACTTTACTTGGGAGATGTTGAACAATTTGCGACCACTAAAATTGTGTTGTGGGTCATAAGGAAAGGAAACTATATTATGTGGATGGGTATTAGATGTATTAAGTGTATTGTTACTTTGCTGAATTTAAATATGACATTTAAAATAGTGCTGAACTGCCCAAGTGTTGCCAATAAAGGATATTTAAGGCCATAATATAGAAAAGAAAGGGTGTCATAAAAATGCAGTATTTTTTTTATGTGCTGATTTACCTTGCAATCTGCATAAACATATAATTTTGTTAGCTTGAGAAACAAGTAGGTGAAGAGATGAAAAAAGGTAGATTCTCTATCATGGTAGTTAAGGATTTAAATGATAAAATTCCTCAATTTTACTATTTTAATCCCACTTGGCAGTTCAAATCATAGGTAAAATCCTCATTGAGGTGAATCCCTCTTACACCCTGATTTAATGCCATTATCAGTAAAATCCTTCAATTTTTCAATTTTTCTAGTGGCTCATTTTGGGGCGCTTTGTTTTTTCTGACCTGGTTCATTTCACCTTCATGATTTCTTATTTCTTATGTGTGACGCCCAACTGTGAGCTCATTTTGTTTAATTTGATTAAACCCTAATCACCATATGAAGCTCACTCTCCTCTGTTCTTCAGTTGTCTCCAGTCTTCCTATTTTTACCAAGCTGGTGCTGTTCTTGGTACATCTTCCTTTGTTCCCTGAATTGTTGCGGTTCTTGGTTTATCCTCCACTATTCATCTGTTTGAGCCTCTATTTGAATTACAAAGTTGATGAAATTGAAGATGGGGATGTAATGTTGGATCCATGTGATTATAATGTGATACATTTTCTAGATCAAACATCTAGATTCTATGATAAGAGAATTTATGTTTGCGTTGTGTTTTATATATTTTGCCTTGTAAGGTTGATGTGTACTTGACTTTTTGTGTTTGGAATTTTTTAAGTTTCCTACTATATTATGGACTAACACGAGTTATTGCATGACATCTGTAGAATATGAATTATTAATTTTTGTATAATCCTATGATTGAATATGAGATTTTTACCTCTCTTCCTGATTCAAGGTAAAATTGTTATTTAAACTACATCGTTTTCTATTATTCCTCTTACAATGGATGGTGGATCCACCAATTACAATTTTCTCTGTATTCATTTCTATGCTGCATGTTTTATGTATTTGATGTTCTTATTCAATGACATAAATGGAAACTTGGATGCATAAAATCAGGACATTAAATGAAAAGAAGAATTTTATGACTGAACTGAATGAAATTCAATGGGACATAAAAGTCATAGTGATCTATCTTTGACAAAATTGAATGTATTAGATCAAGACTGATGTATGGTTGTGTGTATACATGAATCAAGATGAGAAAGATTGGGTGAATGCAATGAATCAATGATATTGCTTTTTCTTGCATTTTTTGTGTAAGATTTTGTATCCATGGAACGATAATATGTGGTAGAAATGATATTGATGGTTGGTTTTACAAACCTTTGGTCTAATTTGTATTTGTTGTCTTTTATAGTGATGATACTTTTTACACAATTTTGGAAGCTAGTAATAGTATTTAATATTTTGGGTTGAATGTGATATCATGTTCTCTTATATATGGTTAGTCTTCTTGTTGTTTCTTTCCTAACAATTTTCCAATAAGTGGTATTAAAGTTGTTGATCTTCTTGGTGACCAGCTCAAATGAGTATGGTATGGAGTGGGTAAAATATTCTAGGTTTGTGGATTCCTTGTATCAAAGGTTTTGTGATAAGGTTTCAAGTAAGCATGTCCCTTGTTAACAACAGTACATTAAGGGTCTCTCTTGAGATACTTGTGATTAAGAAATATTTTCACTCGAGAGAATATCCCTTTGTAAAAGGGATTCACACTTGAGAAGAATATTGTTGAAGTTCAAGTGAGTTTGTGACATCTTACATTGTGAATAAATAAGAAAGTTGAGTAATATATAAGTGATAAAGACTCACAATTATCTTAAGGCTGTGTTGTAGTTGGTGTTGCATTCTTTTATATGGTTGACTTGAGGTCCATTAGTGAATATCTCTCTACTTTTTTTCTCCTCATAATTTCCCATCATTATTTCCCTTTTAACATTTTGGGTTATGGTTCCTGAATTTTGCAATGAGTTTTGATGTTTCCTGCTTATCTTAGTTGTGTGTTATGCTGCATGTTAGAATATGGTGAGGCGCCTATGACAGAACTTGTTGGACTTTTATGCCCTCTATTAGTTACCTGCAAACCACATGATTAGTGCCAATTATGGTGGGCAAGGACAACCTAATGCTGTGTTTCTTATTATTTGAACACAAGCCTAATTTAGTCCTGACTGTATACTAACCTACCAATTGTAATTTAGATTTAGATGAAAGTAACTGCAAAGGTTGTCGAGAATAATTGAATCTTTAAGATATTTTTTCATGCGTTTGTTGCTAAGACATTTATAGGTTTTGTAAAAATTTCTACAAAATCATATCATTGATAATGATGTGAAATGTGTACTTTAGACATTTTCTGATATTGCTTAGAATGACCAATATTTTAATTTATTAAGCTGATTTTTCTCCCCATTTTAAAAAGTCCTACTATGATGATTGTCTTTCCTTGGTCAGTTTCAGGTTGAGTTTGTGAATGGCTAAAGTTGGTAACTTGCGGAACAAGTCTCAGGGTAGGAAGGCATCGCCGTGTCTTTTGTCTTGTGCAAGAAAAAATATGAAAGATGTGAATCCAAAGAAGAGCACTTCTAAAGCATCGGAGAAAAAAGAATGGGAAGATACAACCTGCTCTGTATGTATGGAGGTTCCCCACAATTCCATCCTTCTGCTTTGTTCATCTTATGACAATGGTTGTCGCCCTTATATGTGTGCTACTAGTCATCGCTATTCAAACTGTTTTGAACAATACAAAAAGGCATATACCAAAGCAACATCTGTTCGAAGTTTGCAGCTAGAAGCAGACAATGCAAATTTTGATTTAAGCACAGGTGAATCTAAAGACAATAGTGAAGTTGCCGAGCTTCTTTGCCCCCTTTGTCGCCGGCAGGTGAAAGGTTGGACAGTGGTTGAAGCCGCAAGAAAGTCTCTGAATGCCAAGAAA